TGGGTCCGCCCTGGGGGGGGCGCCCCCCGTGCCCTCCAGGCCGGGGGCTTCCCCTGACCCTTTCGGGCCTCCCCCCCAGGTGCCCTCGCGCCCCAACCGCGCCCCGCCCGGGGTCCCCAGGTGAGTAGGGGCTGAAAGTGCCGGTAGAAGCCGCCGGGCGGCCGCGGCCAGGAGGGAGGTGGGGCCGGATTCCAGAGCCGCCGTCTCTGGCCCAGGCACCCGTTCCGGGCCTTGGGACCCGAAGCCGCGGGACGTGCGGGCCGAGGGCCGGCGGAGCCTGCTCCCCAGCGGGCGCTGAGTCCCGGGGGTGCTGTTCTCTGGGGAGGGGGCTGTGGGGCGCGTCCCACCTGCCCCCTTCTTGCAAGCACTTGCATGGCTACCGTCTTCTCTCACTCCTGGCTCCCACACCGCGCGCGCCTCCTCCTTTGCCTTTCCCCTCTGCTCCTCCATTCGCTCCCCGCTCCTCTCCCGGGCCCTGGCAGCCTGCTTCAGGTCTGAGCCCCGGTCCTCTCTGGATGTGTGGATTTCCTCCAGCTGCGGCAGGGCTGCCTGATGCCCCCACTTGCCCAGGGGCTGTGTGGCCCTCCAGGAAGAGGCCAGGCTGTGACTGCGTGACCAGCAGGGTGTGTGATGTGTGTGTGGGCGTGCACACGGGTGTGGCTTGTGTGCGTGTGAGTGGCACCCGGGCATGGGGTAGGACAGGGAGCGGCTCCTGGGGGCCGTGGGGCAGTCGGACAGCTTTTCTCCTCTGCCCTGCCTCTGGGCCTCCCGCGCCTGGGCCAACGTGATGGGGGCAGGGGCAGGAGTGGGTGACGGCGGTCCCATTCCCAGAGGTTTCCGGGGAAATGGATTCTTCTGGATCCCTCGGCTTGGTTTTCTTGATGCGTGACGCTCTCTGGAGCCGGCCCTGGGTCCACTGGCCGCGTTCTCCGAGGAAGAACACATCAGAACACGGACGTTTTCAGATGGCTGGAGGGTGGGGCTGTGGGGCTGGCCTTCGTCCACCGCAATGAAGCAGGGATGGGCTCGCTCGGCCTTGCGCCTGTGTTTTCCTTCTGGCCGGTGGTGACCTCCTGCCTGTCTCCCAGGGGTGCTGTGGGATGCCTAGGTGGGGCCCCGGGAGACGCTGCCTGTCGCGATGCTGCTGTAACTGCAGACGTGGCTCTTTGCTCACCACCAGTGTGAGTGCACACTCTCCCCGGTGCTTCATACTGCCAGGCCTATGCCAAGGTGGGACCATGGGCACTGCCACCTGGGCACCTCACTCACGCCAGACCCGCCACCTCGGAGACCTTTGGCAAGTCCTGGCCCTGCCCGCGGGAAGGGAGCGGTCTGGGAGAGCTCACGCAGGGCAGCCTGCCCTCCACCAGTCTGAGCTGAGGCTCAGGCGGGAGCCCTGGGGAGCGGCAGGTGTGGCACGGGCTGCGTTGCGGAGAGTTGCTGGCCAGCGCAGAGTCCCGATACAACGCGATCGAGGGCTTTGGGGTGGGGGGGGCTGGAGGATCTTCAGAGTCTGAGAAGAGTTTGACTCGCGGCTGAACGCTGTAGGCGGTAGGGAGCCGTGGAGGGCTCTTGGGTAGAGAAATGAGAGTTGCGCCCTAAAAAGCCAGCCCCGACCCACAGGGAGCAGGTGTGGCCCTCGGAGCACGCCAGGCACGAGTGTGCAGGGAGCTGGTGCAACAGCCTTGTCTGCGGGCGAGCTTCTGTGTCGTGACTCAGCCCACGCGTGTGCTTCATGTGCCGAGTGGCTGCATGCCCAGATCCGTGCTGCACGCGCAACCAGTGAGGGTGCTGGGCGCCGGGAGGAGGGGGAGGGAGAGGTACGCGTGTGGTTTGTGGGCATGTGTGTTAGCGTGTGCATGCAGGGCCAAGGAGCCCCACAGCATGTGTGTGCACGCCCGGGCGTGTGCGTGTGCGTGTCCCCCCCCAGGCCTGCCCCACCCCGTGTGTGTGAACTGCCCTGTTGATTTCGTGCTGTCTTTCAGAATCACTCTCAGTGAGCCCTGAGGAGCGTCAGCCACGGTAGGTGCAGCCGCTGCCTGTCGCATGACTGTGTCTGCCCTGCTGCACCAGCCGCACGCTGGGGGGCGCCCTGGGGCCTCAGGGCCAGGCCCCGCCCTCTCCACACTGCAGCTGCGGCCTCCCTCTGTCCTGTTTCTGTCCTGGCGCCAGCTGGCTCTCTCCTCTCCCTTCCCAGCCAGCCTCGGGACTCAGTGCCGCTGCCCAGGGCCTCTGTGGCTGGGCCTGGGGGTTCTCGGGACAGGCTCCGCACCCAGGCTGGCAGGCGTGGGTGCCTCTGAGCTGTCAAGAGCCCAGGAAGCTTGTGGTGGATGGGGTAGGGGCTGGGAACGTGGAGGGTGTTGTCATGGGACAGCCTATGAGCTTCCTCCTGGGCGTGCCACACCTGCCCCAATCGGAGCTGTGCTGCTGGGGGCAGGGGGCACCGGGGTGTCCAGCCCCCCGGCCTGGGAGCCCCACCACAGGCCAGGAGTGACGGCTGGGGGTCACCTCCTCCCTTGGGTGTGCAGTTAGCAGTGGCTGGTGGGGGGAGGCCTCCGGTTGCTTGATGACCTCCAAGCCTGAGAATCCTCTGCACCCATCAGCCCAGGTGAGGCAGGGACGCCAGCCTTCGGCTCCCCCGGGCGGTGTCACTCCTGCTACTGGCTGAAGGCGGGTGCTCAGCCCCAGACGAAGCCCCGTGGCCAGGGCAGGCCAGCTATTCGCAGTTCCCCGGCCGGGCTGCACAGCTGGCCCAGGGCCCCACCTGCCACTCCTCCCTGCCTCTGACTCTCCCTCTTCTGCTTTCCCCAGCAGGAAGGGCCCAGCCTCGCCTACACGACCTGCAGCCCCCCGACCAGCCGAGGCTCCCCTCTTAGATTTATGAGTCTGTGGCCACTGGCATCTGGCTGCCTGCCCGCCCTGCCTCCCCAGGGTCGCCTCAGGGCACGCCTGGGCTTTTTGAGCACCCACAGGGGCCTCCAGCGCCCCCTCCAGCCATCTGTTTTAGCTCCGCGCTCCTGGTTCGAGCAGTGTTCTTCCTCCTGACTTTCTCCATCAGGCCTGCTGGCCGCCAACGGGGGCCTCCCGAGGCTAGTGCTGGCCCTGGCCAGTGGACCCACAGCAGGGCCGTCAGGGAGGAGGGAAGCCCGAGAGGGCCAGGCAGTGTCAGGACTGGGGCTGTGCTGCTGGGTGCTGTGTGAGAGGTGGCGTGAGTGCAGGGGAGGCCCTCCCCAGCCTCCACCCCGACTCCCCGGAAGCCCGGGTCACCGCTCCAGCTCCTCCCCCATCTTCCTTCCCCTGCCTGTCCATCGCCTTTCCCAGAAAGCTCGTCCAGGTGCCCACCTGCCGCTGCTTCCCGCCCCTGCCCTGCCCACCAGGCGGGGGCCTGGCTGCTCTTGCCTTACCCGTCTCCTCCTCTCTCTCCGCTGTTCTCTCTGCTTTCTCTCCCACTGCCAGCCGATCGGGTCAGGCAAGTCCGTCCCGTCCTGAGAGCCCCAGGCCCCCCTTCGACCTCTAACCAGATCCCTCCTCTTCCTCGGAGACCTCCCTTTCCAAGCCCACCCGGACAGCTGTTCTGTGACTTCACGGTGGCCCCTCAGCCCCAAAGCCTCCCCTTCATCTGTGACTTTCTGTGGTGTGGTGAGCTGACCCCTCCAGGCGTGACCTTGGTGAAATTTGTGCCCCTCTGCGGTCCTGCTCCTGCCCTGTTCTATAAATATCTATAAATACTCATATATACACACACACGCACACGTATATATACGTGTATATATATATATGGCTGACACAGCCTCGCCTCTATGTTGGGAACTGGTCACCGTACTGTCCTTGTGGATTCTGTGGCTCAGTGACAAGGGATGGCTGTCACCCTGCCCTGCCCTGCCCCCTCCAGCGTGTGCCACTTCCTGTGAGCCGCCCTGCCCTGCCCAGCCTGCGGACAGCCAGCCCTGCTCCCTGGCCCCTCCCCGCCCGGCGTGGGGTGCTGTAGTGGCAGCTGTGTGGTCCCTGACCGTCTCCACCAGTCCTGCTGTCTCTTGGCTGAGAATAAAGCCCGTTTCCACACGACGGGAACACTGCGTCCCGTGCCGGCTCGTGTTCTCTGTGGTGCTCCGGGGCAGGGGAGGTTTCAAGGTTTCCCCCTTGGGGTGCAGCGCGGGGAAGGGTGCTGTGCAAGGGGTGGGACAAGGCCCCCTCCTTTCCTGGGCGGCTTGGGAAGTGCCTGCAGGTTGCTTAGTTCTCAATGCTGTGAGCCCTGCTCTGACCACCAGGGGGCAGGACCAGAAACCCAGCCTGGAGGCAGGCTGTGGGCTGCAGGCCTGGGCTTGGAGGCAAGGACAGGGTAGGGCGGGGCTAGCGCTGGAAGTTGGCACCCTTGGGCGCTGGCACGCGGCATTCCCTGCATCCCTCCAACATGAGCTCAGAGCCTGGGGGCCACAGGGCAGAGCTGTGCCCCTGGCATCGCAGTGTAAGGAGACCAGCCTGGAAGAGGCCTCTCCACCCCACTGGACGGACGCTCGGCACAGCATGGCAGGCTGCCCACTGCCGGCCAGGCCCTGCCGCCCTGTGCAGTGCCCACCCGCAGCACAGCAGACCCTGGGCCCTGCGACGAAACTGCCACACACGGGGCCAAGCGGTGTGGCTAAATCTGTTTATTTCAAGATAAAAAGAGTAACAGGAGCCACATCACCAGGGTGCCACAACCCTGTCTCCGCCTCTTTCCTGTGCCATAGACTCAATAAATAAGTTTCCCAGCCCCAAAGAAGTATTAAGACCTCCTCCTCATTTGCGAGCTCCAGCCTCAGCTATGATACGGGGGCGGCCCTACCCCCAGAATATACAAAATGTACACAAGTACAATATGTACATGGGGGCGGGGTGGGGGCCCCCCTGGAGGCAGCCTTGTCCCCTCATCAGGCCTCCAGTTAGCCCCAGTGGTCGCAGGGCCTGACAGAATGCTGCCTGCTGCCCTGCCCCAAAGTGCCTCCGAAGAAAGGGAGTCCCCTTGGTTAGAAGTGACCCTCGCCCAGATGTCCTTGCCCGGGTGCTCCCACCAGCAATGACCCTCACCTAGATGCCCTTGCCTGAAATTGTCCGAAGATGCCTCTGACCAGAATGACCTTTACCCATGATGCCCCTGGCTCGGAAGTGACCCTTGCTCACCGATGCCATTGCCCGGGTGCTGCCACCCAGCAATGATTCTCATCCAGATGCCCTTGCCTGAAATTGACCTTGCCCAAAGATGCCTGTGTGCCAGAAATGTCCCTTGCCATGATGCCCCTGGCGCGGTAGTGACCCTTGCCCAGGATGCCCCTGTCCAGAGTGACCCTTCCCCATGATGCCCCTGGCCCAGAAGTGACCCTTACCCATGACACCCCTGCCCAGAGTGACCATTACCCATGATGCCCCTGGCCAAAAAGTGACCTTTGACAGTGATGACGTGCCCAGGGGTCCCTGCCCAGAGATGATCCTCAGAGAGATGCCTCTCTCACCCAGAAGCCCTTGCCAGAAAATGACCTTGCCCAGCGTGACCCTTGCTCGGCGATGTCCTTGCCAGTGCCCCCACCGGGCAATGACTCTCACCCAGATGCTTTCCTCTCCCAGATGCCCTTTTGAAATGGACCTCGCCCGATATGCCTCTGTCCCAGAAGTGACCCTTACCCATGATGCCCCTGGGAGGGACCCTTGCCCAGCGAGGCCCCCGCTCAGAGATGACCCTCACCCAGATGCCCTCTACCATGGTGCCCCCTGGCCTGAAGGGAACCTCACCCAGCCTGCCCCCGCCCGAACATGCCCTTGTCCATTTGCTATTGCCCAAACTCCCTGGGCCTGGAGATGCCCCATCGAAGATGCCCTCACCCAAAGATGACCCTTGCCCAAATATGTCCTCCTCACCCAGATGCCCCCACCCGGAGATGACCCGAAGATATCGCTGGCCAGGAAGTGACCCTTGTCCAGTGACAACCCTCACCCAGATGCCCCTGGCCCAGACTGCACCTTGCCTAGATGTCCTCACCCAAGGATGCCCCTGGCCCGGAAGTTACACCCACCCAGAGATGATGCTCACCCATGATGCCCCTGGCATAAGTATGCCCTAGCCAGGCCGACAGTAGGCCCAAGAGGGGCAATGAAAACTGCCTGGCTGACTGCCCCAGGAGAGGAGCACCCCCTGGTCTGGGCTGTCTGGGGGCCACACAAACGCTGCCTACGTTGGTCACAACCTCTCAGGGGTTCTATCTAAGAGGGAAGGGAACTGGGATGGAGGGGCAGGGGGCGGGGTGGCTTGCAGGGGCGGGAAGGACTGGGCGGGGCTCTCCGGGCTGAGGGCATCTGGGGTTAGACGATCAGGATCTTCACTTCGTCGTGCTCGTCAGCCCGGTAGAAGAAGGGGATGCAGGGGTTGGTGCCCAGGCCTGGGCGCTCCTGGGGGTGCTGGATCTCCCGCAGCAGCTTCATGATCTGCTGCGCGGTAGGGTTCTGCGTGGACGAGCCCTCCCCAGCCTCTCCTCGCGCAGGCTCCACGGTGTCGGCGAGGCTCACCTCCCCAAGACCTTGGAGAGAGAGGGGGCTCTGAGCAAGCTGCCCGCGCCTCTGCTCCGGCCTGCCCCCCGTGCCCAGGGCGCTCTCCTCACCAGCCTGCGGGTCAGCAGCGTCCTGCAGGGCTGGGGCCGCAGGAGCGGGATGGTCAGCGCGGTCCGGGGCGGCAGCCAGGACTCGGCCCTGCCACTCGCTGCGCTCGCCCACAAGCTGCAGCACCAGCTCCTGCAGCTCCAGGAGTTTGATCTGCAAGGAGAGGTGCTCAGCGCCCCTGCCCTGGGCCTCGGCCCCCGCCCCAAGCGGCAGGAGGGTCCAGGGCCCCCACCTTCATGTCCTCCTTGTCCTGGGCCAGCCGGCTGATGTACTCCTCCTTCTCCCGGTGCCGCTCCTTCAGCACTGCCCTCTGGTTCTGGTAGAGGGCAATGTACTCTCCTGCGCACAGACGGGGCGGCGGGCAGCGCTCAGAGGCGGGCCCACGCGACCCCATGCAGCTCCCCCTGCCAGGGCCCGCGCTCCCGGCTCACCGATGGTGTCCGTCTCTCCAGAGAGCTGGATGCAGCGGTGTTCTAGCTCCTCTACCCGCTCTCGGAGCTCCGCCTTCTCCGCCATCACCTCCAGAAAGCGGGTCTGGAGCCACAACCACGGGGTCAGGAATCGGCGGTCACCGGCCCCAGCCCCCAGCCTTCCTGGCCCGTGGCGGGAGAGAACCCCTCACCTGCAGCTTCTCCATGGCCCCCTGGAGGGCCTGGTGAGTCTCCCCAGACACAGAGTCACCCCCAGTCCCAGCGGCTGAGGTCCCCTCGGGCTCCCCCTGCGATGGCACGGCAAGGACAGCCAGGCGCCGGCAGCGAGCCTTCTGCTCCCTCAGCTGCCCGCGGAGCCGGGCCCGCTCTTCCTCGGCTCGGGCGAGAGCCGACGTAAAGAACGTCACCTACGGGCAAGAGGTGAATGAGTTCGTGTGTGCAGGTGCACCTGCTGTTCCTGGGAGGAATGCTGTCTGACCACTGGCTCCCAGGATAGGTGTGAGGTCAAGAGAAATCAAAGTGGGGGAGGGGGGAATCAAGATATAAGGAGGGGCCACAGAGGGAGGCAGGGAAAGGTGGGATGGAGAGGCACAGGGCACAGCCTGGCTTACCACGGCCTCTCGGCTCTCCAGGTCTTCTGGGACGGGCACTTTGGCCTGGGGAGTTTCCTCCTCCTCCTCCTCCTCCTCCTCCTCCTCCCCATCTCCTGAGGGCACAGCCAGAGGGACCCCAGATGATCCGGTGAGGGAGGGAGGAAAGCTCAGGGCTCCCCTCTGCGCCCACCCTCCCTGGGGGGCCCAGGGCAGCCACTGCCCAGAGGAGAGGGCTCAGCCGTCCTCAGAGTCTCTCTCAATCCACGCTGTGCTGCCAAGCCCCCTCCCCCTCCCCCACAGCTGCGTCCTCCCCCGTGGGAGCCTCACTCACCCTCTCCAGGGAGGCCCAGGAGGCCCAGCTGAGCTTGCAGCTGCTGGTTTTGCTGGGCGGCAGCTTCCAGGCGCTCCTGGGGGCCAGGAAGAGTGAGAAGGCACACAGGTGCAAGGTCCTCCCCCGGGGCCCGCCCAGGCCCGCCAGCCCTCACCTGGGTCTCCTGCAGCTCCTGGCGAGCCACCTGGACCGCCACCTTGCCCTGCACCTCCTCGTGCTGCAGCCGGTCCATGAGCTGCGTCTGCAGCAGAATCTGCTTGTGCAGCGCCTCCTTCTCGGAGCTCAGCTGCTGGTAGGCAGCCGCGTGCTGCTGGTAGGCGGCCACGTACTGCTGCAGGTGGCCCAGGTACTGGTCGCGCTGCTGCTGCAGACTCTGAGCCTCCTGGCTCTTCAGCTCCACCTGCGGGGAGACCCAAGGGGGTGGGGGGAGCGTGAGGGCAGGCGGGGGTTGCTACCGATGACGCTGGTTGCAGGGGAGGCACGGCCCCGTGTCTCCTGCACCCCGCCTCACACTCATCCCCTTCTTCCCATCACTTTCACTTGAGGCCAACGCGAGAGGGAAGGCATCCTCTAGGGCACGCCCGTGCCTACTCCTTTACAAGCACAACCTCAGCTCCTCCTCAACACCTGGAGAGGGAAACACTGAGTTCCCTGGTCAGGAACCTGAGGCTTAGCAAGGGGCAGCTTTGTGCAGTGACCAGCGGAGCTGGGTGACACGCCTCTCCCTGGGACATTGACGTCCAGCCCCGGGAGGAGCCCGGGGCTACCAGCTCTTAGAGCCGCAGGACAGTGGGGGCCACCTGTCGCTCCAGCCTGGAGCGGCCCCCTCCTGGGCCTAGACCCCCTCCCCAGAGACCTGTGCCCATGGCCCACCCCTCGCAGGCGGTGAGCGTTACCGTCTCCTTCAGCTCCCCCAGCCTCTCCTGCAGCTGGCCGAGCTTCTTGGCCAGCTCGTTCTTGACGTGCTGCTCGGCCTGCAGTGAGCTGGTGAGCTCCATGTTGTCATTGCTCTGCACAGACAGAAGCGATCCGCTGCCACCCAAAGCGGCTGCATCGGGACCCAGCACCAGGTGCCACCTCCCACAGTGCCGGGAGGGCTGAGACTCAACCCTCCCCTCCAACAGACGCTGGAGCAGGGGCCTGGCTCCCAGGGCGCCTCCCTAGGCCTACACCGTCCCCTTTGACCGGGGGGTGGGGGGTGGGAATGAAGGCCCAGAGGGAAGTGTTTTGTGCCGGAGGCCTTGCCCAGGGAGGCCGAACGCACCAGTCGCACGAAGCCATCCTGCAGCTCGGCCAGCTGCTCCTTGAGCTCCCGGTTCTGCAGGAGCGCGCGGCTGATGGTCACGCGGTCGCTCTGCATGCTCTCCAGGATCTGCTTGCGCTCCTCGGCCTGGCTGCCCCACAGCTCCGCCTCCCGCTCCAGCTGCAGCAGCCGCTGCTCCTGCTGCTGGTTCAGGCGACTCAGGCCTGCGTTGTCCTGCACCTGGGCCTGCAGCTGCCCCGCCAGGCTCTCCAGCTCCTTCTGCAGCTGCTCAGCCTGCGCCTGCAGCTGCTGCTCCGCCGCCGACGGCCCCGCGGGGGGCGCTGCGGACTCCGGGGCGGGAGGCTCCGCTGAGGAAGGAAGCAGCCATCAGGGGCCGTGCACGGCAGGCAGTGGGTGCGCCACCCCTGTTGCGGATGAGGTCACCGAGCCTCAGAAGATGACGAGACTCACCAGCCCCTGGCACAGCCCTGCTTCCCTCTGCCACAACACCCTCGCCGGGCGCCCGACCCCCGTCCTGCTCCCAGGCCACCTCCGCCCCTGCTCACCCCTCTGGCTCTTGAGCTCGGCCACGGTGGTCTCCAGCTCCTGCACCCGACTCAGGCCGTGCTCCTTCTCCTCCCTCAGCGTGCACAGCTGCCCCGAGACAGGGAAAAGAGCCGTGAGCGGGGGCCACCGCCTCCCTCTGCAACGACGCTGCCCCAAACCCAAACACAGACCAGCTCTGGTGCAGGCCACAGCAGGTGCCCGTGCTGCGCCCGTTTACAGACACCCAGAAAGACGAAGGGGCCTGTCCACGGGGCTGCCCACCTGCGCAGACATCTGCTGCATCTTCTCCTGCCACAGGGCACGCTCCTCCTCCAGGCCCTCTGCGTAGCGGTCCCTGTCCATCCGCAGGTGTGTCTGCGTCTCCAGCAGCTTCGAGAATGGACGCAGAAGTTTGGAGGAGGCATCGCGGATGCTCACCTGCTCCTGGCCGCCCGGGTTCTAGTCTCCTCCCAAGCCCCCCTCCTCCTGCCAAGCCGCACCTGTTGCACGTGTTTCTCCAGCTGGGCCCGCTCCTCCATGGCCTGCTGAAGCTGCTGCCTACCGTCAGAGGCGCCAGACTCGCTAGAGAACTGAGTGGGGAGGACAAGGTGAGAACTGGAAGCCCTCAGGGCCAACGCAGGACTCAGGGTCACTGAAGAGGTCAAGTGTTGGCTGGGGCTCCCAGGCTAGCCTACCAAAGGCATGGATGACACGAGGGTTTGGGGGCGTGTGCGGTGCAGTGTGTGGGTGGCCACATGGCATGCCCGCATGCCATAGCGGACAGCCTGCCTCCAGTCACGGCTACTGCACTTCCCACCCAGCTTCCTGCTACTGTGCAACTGAGGAAGCAGCAGGGGACGGCCTCCGGGGCTCCCGACAGCACACAGGAGTCTGGATTGAGTTTCAAGCTCCTGGCTCCCGCCTGACCCCGCCCTGGCTCTTGCAGGCATCTGGGACATGAACTAGTGCATGGAAGATCTCCCTCCATCTCTGTCTGCCTGCCTTTGCCTTCCCAGTGGAAACCGAGACGCTCGAATACAAATGTTTGAAGAGCTGTGTCTCTGAGATTCTGATTGTGTAGGTCAGGCAGGGGCTCTGTGCAGAATTCTAGCCATTCCGGGAGGCTTCTGGGGCAGGACCAGAACAAGGGTTCAGAAGTCCCAGCTCTTGGCCGGGGCCTCCCTGACAGGCCTGGGCTGGCGCCCGCGGGCTGGGGCTGGGGCTGGGCTCCAGCACAGGCGCGTACTTGCTGCAGCAGCAGCTCGGACATCTCCAGCTTCTTCTGCAGCTCCTCCGTGCCCAGCTGCAGGGCCTTCTTCTCTGTCTCGAGGACGCGAAGCCTCTCCTGGAGCTCAGAGTTCTGCTGCTTCAGGTCCTCGTTGTTTCTGCTGCCGTGAGAGGTGGCAGCGAGGGCAGTGAGCCAACAGAGAGGACCACGCTGGTGACGAACCCACCTTCTTGCTGCACCTCCCAAGAACCTTGGCCTTGGAGGGGCCCCGACAACCAGCTCGCTCACGGGGCAGGCCAGAGAGGACCTGAGCTGCCTGAGGCCATCGCACGAGCCGGTGGCACAGCTGGCAGCAGAGCTTGGTGTGCACACGCCCCACCTGTACAGCCGCTTGCTCCTCATGCTCCCCGGCACCCCTCCCCTCTTCACCTGTGCTAAGTCCCCCAGACTCCTCCCCACTTCCCCTTCTTACTTGTTCTTGTATAACTCCAGTTTGAGAGCATCTCGCTCTTGGGTCAACTCCTTGTTGTGCTGCAAACACAGAAAAGCGCCGTCAGGACTGGGCAGGTCCATGGTGGAGCTGGGGCGCTGGTCACAGTGGCCACAGGCACACGCCTCAGCCACGCTTGCTCACCCTCGCTCTCCGGCAAGGCCTGCCAAGCCCAGGGCCTCGCTGGTTTTTCCTAAGAGCTCGTGAGGGCAGAAGAGGAAGGGAAGGAGCTGACTTCCCGCTGGCTAGCGGAGCCTCAGAGACAGCGGACAGCACTGCTATGGCCCTGCTGCTACAGCGTCACTCTGAACCCTTTCCCAGTGCTCCACTGCCCAGGCTCACGGCCCCGCTTGATTCTCACGGCTACCCCAGGAGGCAGTGACTGTCCCTCCTCTTTGTCGAGAGATGTGGTGGAATGAGAAGGCTATGCCAAGATGGCCGCTGGCAAGCGATCGTCAATTACTCAGGAATGGTTTTGAAACTCACCTGGCAACGTAGCCTGCTGGCAACAGGCTGTGATTGGATGGCTTCGGAGCCTGCCTGGCATCAGGCTGTGATAGGTTGGGGCATAGACCGCCCCTTGACTGGATTGGCTGCCTCGGCTATATAAGCTGTTGCACCAACTGAAATAAACGAGTCTGCAGGCTGCTCCCTGAGGCCTGCTTTCACCTGACTCGTGGTACCTGTGTGGTGACTCTGTGCCTCTTGCCCCCACCACGCTCCTCCTCTCAGAACCAATCCTCTCAGAAGAAATCAACCTCAACATCGGGCGTGCCAAGGTGACTGGGAGAGAGACAGCATGTTGGACTTGGTGAGGCCCCCCCTTGATTTCAGCAAGATGGCCCCTCGGTGTTTTGTGTGCTGTTTGGTTCTGTGAGGGTGAGCACAGAACCCCCTCTTACGCCCCGTCCTTGTCCTTGTCCTCGTGCCAGGTTAGGCACACACTGCCCAGAAGCGTACGCTGCTTCTCGGCTCCTCCTTTTACTTTCGGTTCGCCTGGTGAATTCACATCAGAGACTGATCATCCCAGAATTCGGAACCAAGTCATCTTCCCTCACTCGAGAGAGGTGACGCTCCGGAGACACCGTGTGGCATACGGCCTTGACCTAACGAATCAAGGATGTCCCCCACTAAGCACAGGACATACGTATGATCTGACACACCACTGTCTGTTTGTCTAACATAGGGAAGCCCTGCAGAATGCCATCAGCCGCTGAGGTGCTAGGAATTTGTTACGGCAGCAGTGCTGTGCGTGTCTTTCCTTTGGCTAGAGTTGGCGTGGCACGCTGCTCTTGAGTGCTCAGACATGGGAAATATACCCCCTCTCGGAATCCCATGCAGATAATCAGACAGTGAATCCGGGAGTGATCAGAGCCTGACACTCCAGGTCCCCGTCTCACAGATAACAGTTGATGACTTAGGGAGACAGAGCTGGACAGTGAAAATGACAATGTAGCAAACAAGGTAGCAAACAATGTAGCAATGCCTAGTCAGCCACCCCCCACATACCCGTGGGATGAACTTAGAGGACCTCCAGACGATAACTCATGTGAGGTCATCCCATCTGCACCCAGGGAGGAGCCCACATTTGTGGCAGTCCCCAGGCACCCCAGGCTCTCAGGGCAGCTGCTAGCTCCCATGCCATCCGCATGTTTGTCGTTACTCTCAAAGTGGACTCAAAATTCAGGCCCTGGATTCCAGCACCCATGGAAAGGCTTCTGCTAACCAAGGGTGGAGGGTAGGCTTGTGTCTTTCCAGAGAATGCGGGACAGCCCATTTGGGTACCAGCCAGAAACATCAAACCTGCAACTGACAGCCAACCAGAACCAGCTGAACCAGACTGAGAGTCCGCCTTGTTAGCAGATGCACCTGCCCTATCATCCTACCCTGAGAATCTGCCCAGAGCCACATCCATTATTGTTTTATACTCCACCAGCTCTGGTCAGCCACTCGAACGGCCCACAGCCTGTGTGCACTCACGCCAGTCCTGATTACCACTGTTCCTCATTCCTACCCCCATCTGAGCAAGCACTCCTGTGGTCTCTCGAATTGAGCGCTGGTTAGTCAACGACAGGTAAGATCCCCTGGGGGACAACTAAGGCACAGCTGCGTACAGAGACCACATGGAAACGGTGTCAACAATGGTATGGCCAAGATTCATGCCTCCCATTGCTCAAAAATAAACGAAAAGGGGGAAATGTGGTGGAATCAGAAGGCCATGCCAAGATGGCCGCTGGCAAGCAAGCGGCAGTTACTCAGGAATGGCTTCAGAACCCACCTGGCAACACAGCCTGCCTGGCAACAGGCTGTGATTGGTTAGGGCATAGACCGCCCCTTGACCGGATTGGCTGTCTTGGCTATATAAGCTGAATATATAACTGAAATACACGAGTCTGCAGGCTGCTTGCCTCAGGCCTGCGTTCCCCCAACTCCCGGGGTCTGTGTGGTGACTCCGTGCCTCTTGCCCCCACCACGCTCCTCCTCTCAGAACGAACCCTCTCAGAAGAAATCCACTTCAACAGAGAGACACAAAACAGCAAAACGCAGTGCAGAGCTGCAGCACTTGTCTGAGACCTGAGCATCCTGGTCGCATTCTCTGGGCCCGTTTTCCCCCAGGGATGAGGGCGCAGACGCGGAGGGAAACCGAGTTTGTGTCTAAGCTTCTGTCACCTGCTGAAGGACGGTGCAGCATTCACACAGTCTACCCTCGCCACAGCAGAGGGGAAACGCCCCCAGCCCCATGTTCCCCTCCCTGGGGTTGAGGGCCCCTCTCCCATCCGACACGGCCCCTCACGGATGCTAACTCGCATGCTCTTCTGCGCCTTCCCAGCCCGGGCACCCCATCCCTGCTCCCAGCGCTTGGTCTCCAGTGCTCCCTGCACAGCCACCCCCACTCACCACCCAACTCGGTCCCAGGTTCTTTGGCACCAATGAAAGCCGCGTGAAACGGCCCGGACTGCATCTGGCCCACTCCGGGCTGCAGAAGGGACCTGTCCACTCACTCCCTGCTAGGAAACCAGGCTGCCAGTGGCTGGGCAGGCGGCCGGGCTCACCCTGTCCACCTGCTTCTGCTGCGTGGAGACGGCAGACAGTGTCCGCTCCAGCTCTCCGACGCGCTGGTGGGTCGTCTGCAGGCGATTAGCAAGGTCCTCAGACTCTCCTGGAAGCAGAGGGGTCGAGATGGAGCCCCGGGCCCCCAGAGGCCTGCCAGGTGCCTGGCTGGGGGGCGGGGGGGCTCAGTCCCACCTGCTTTCTGCCTGGCTGCCTGCTGGGTGTGAGCCAGGGCCGACTGTAAATCCGCCTTCTCAGACACAAGAATCCCAATGGTTTGAATGTGAACCTTTAGGAGGAAGCCAAACACGGGCTCAGAGCCAGAGGAAGGACTGCTCTCCTGGGGCAGGCGAGGGTCACCACGGGTCACTCACCTGCAGTTGTTCTCTTAAAGCCCCCTGCTCCTTGGCCAACTTCTGCTGACATTCTTTCTTCTCCTGTAGGAAGAGAAAAGAATCTCCCTGACTGGGGCAGCACAGATGGCATGGCACAGGACACGGCCCCAGATGCCACCATGGTCCTGGATGGGCCCAGGGATGAGATCAGATCTCAGGGCCCTGGAGGGGCGGGGGGCGGGGGGGTGCAGACCAGCAGCCATGCAGTGAGCAGACATAGAAATCACATTACTTTTTCCACTTGATCCAGAGTTTCTTGGTTCTGTTGTTTCTGTGGGGAGAGTCAAAGGGAGGAAGGTGACTTAGGATGTCCCCTCGACTCCACTCCCAGAGCAAGAGGGGGTGGGCAGGGGGCCAGGGCGGGATTGGCCCGTTCTCAGGCCCTGTGGGCCAGGACCTGTCCTGACACTCCTAAGGAAAGAGCACGAGGGTCTTTGCTGGTTTGCGCTCACAGCTATGGAGCTCGTCTGAATCGGGAGTCTCCTCGGGGGACAGTAAGGTGAGGCTCCAGAAATGGACGTGAGAAAAGACGGGCCTTCCGCTAGGTTCGGATGTACAGGGCGCGTCGTTCCACAGCTCAGCACGTGCTGCACGGGGGCTGGGCTGCTCTTAACAGCAGGGATACAGCAGTGGAAAGCACAGCTAAGATCCCTTCTCCCTGAGGTTTACGTCCCAGGGAGCCTGGAAATCTTGGATTCTTAGAGCCAAGAGAGACCTTTGACAACCGCCATTTCTACTTCCTTGGGAAATTCAAGCCCAGTGAGGAGAGGCGCTTGTCCAAACTCAAACTCAAGTCAGGGCCGGAGTCAGGGCGGGAACAGCGGCTCATGGCCAGTGCTGCCCCGAGAGGCCACCATCCCAGGGCCAGTGTGGCCGGGATGCAAGCTGGGGTGTCTGGAGAAGAGGAGGCGGAGAGGGCAGCGACAGGAAGAGAGCCATGCTGCTTGCTCCATCCTCTGGGGTCCCTCCAGCTGAGACCGCGGTCCCCAGCTCCCCATCCTCTCACTGGCCACTTGCTGCCTACCAGACAGAGGGAACAGTCCCCAGACCCCAGAGTCACAGGAAGTGCCGTCGCGGACCAGCACGGCTCTCAGACCCTGCCCAGACACACCCCCCACTCTCCGTGTGCAAAGCCAGACTTCCGCCTGAGCCTTCACTGGAACACGGAGGCTACAGCTCACAATCAGGAGACGCTGTTCCAATGCAACCAAGCTGAAGCCCAGGGCAGGATGGGACTTTTCTCAGGTCACCCAGAGCCACGGCCTCAGCCCAGTGCCTGGGGCTGCCGAAGGGGACAGCCGATGGCCGGGCCTGCTCTCACTGGCCTGGCTTTTCCTCGAGGCCAGGGATGAGGAAGTAGCAAACACCAGCGACAAGGAGTGGTTATAGGACCCTGTGCTCTGGATGAAGACGAAAACAGCAAAACTCAAACTCTGTAGTCAAACATCAGCCCACTCCACGTGACAGATGTGCAAAGAGAGCCCCAGAGAGCTTCAGCGATTTGCCTTACGTCACACCCCAGAGAGGGAAAGGGAGCACTCAACCCAGAATTCTTACCCAGCATCTACACTGCCTTCCGCCACCTTCCATCGTCCTCTTCATCCCCAACCCCCACCCCACTGCCCCTCAGCCCTCACCCCCGGGGCCTGGCCGGCCACCACTCACATCCTCGGTGGGGTGACAGCCCCCAGCAGGGGCTGTCTCGGGGCTGCTGCCATTTTTCAGTTTCTTCTTCTTCCTTCCTGCTGCGGGACCACCAGGGCTGTTCTTCTGCTGATACTCTCTGAGCTGTGGGAGGAGCAGCAGTGGATTCTCTGGAATGCCCTACGCCCCGTGGTCACCTCCCACTGCACAGTGTCCCCAGACACGCTCACTGTGGGGAGCCATTGCACGGCGCCCTAAAGATGGCGCCGGCTCCTTTCCCCCGGAAGGACTGGCGAGAAACAAACATCTCCTAATAAGGAGATGTTTGAGCTCCCTTCCGGCTTCCGCGTTGCTGTACCAATCAATGCTTGCCACTTGGCCGCTTTTGATTGGTGCGCGGATGGCTATAAGAGGGAGGGGAGAAAAAAGGGCGCGAGATTAAAAAGTTTGAAAGAGGTTCCTGATTAAACTGCTGGAAGAAGAGTTCGGGTCGTGTCTTCCTTGCTGGTCGAGGGACGCGACAACTGGTGGCCCGTACGGGGAACATCTCGAACGCGAACTCAGAACTTCCTGCAGTCAGGGCAGCGCTGGTAAGTCCCCCGGGAAAATAAGGTGGGGATCCGCGATAAGAGCGGGCAGTCCTGCGATAAAAGCGGGAGGGTAGTTCTGCGATTAAAGCAGAGGAAGTTCTGCGACAAAAGCAGAAGGAGCTCTGACCCGTGGCCAGGGAAGGAGCGCAATTTTTTGACAATGGGTAATTCACAGTCCCATGAAATTTTTCTGGCGCTGAATGCGCTGCTTCGGGAAAACGGTTTGAAACTTAAGCCTAGTACGTTGCATAGGTTTTTACGTAACTGCGATACCATTGCACCCTGGTATGGGGTTTCGGGAAGCCTTACTATCCCTTCATGGGACAAACTAGGCAGGGATTTGGATTTTGCATTTGAACAGGGTAATCTTGAAGGGGGAGTGAGACCAATATGGAAGTTAGTGCGAGCATGCCTCGAGGATGAGCAGTGTAGTGAAGCTATTCTGAGCGGTCAAGCTGCCTTGGAGGAGCTTCAGGAAGAGCGCTCTGAGAGAGCTGCCAGTGAAAAAGGGAAAACTTTGAAGGAGAGTCGGAAAAGAACTAGGAAAAAACTGTACCCCGATCTTTCCGAGTTGCGCAGCCCCTCCTTAGTAAGTAGTTCTAGTGCAGAAAGTAGCTCAGAAAGCAGCAGTGAGTCTGAAGAGTGTGGCGATAACAAAGAGTACCCACCGAGCCGTTTTCAGACTTTGCAGCGCGCATGGTGGAAGCTGCGGGTAGGATTTTTGGAGATCCAGATCGCGCCATGCCGCTGATAGAACAGTTGGTTTTTGAGCAGTGCACTAAGGAATGCAGAGCCGCTATAACACCATGGAAGAGCAAAGGGCTTCAGGTATGGATAAAACAATGCAGGGAAATAGGAGGGCCGCTATCCAACACTGGCCTTGCTGCAGCAGTCCTTCAAATCACGAAGGGCAATAGGGGATCAGGGAACGCTGGAGCATGTTTCAGCTGTGGAAAAATGGGACATATGAAGCGGCAATGTCCGCAAAGGGGAAGAGGCAAAGAACAAAGACAGGAAGGACCAGGAATTTGTCCAAAGTGCAGGAAGGGAAAGCACTGGGCCAACGAATGCCGCTCGGTAAAGGACATTGACGGCAACGTCCTTGTTTCTGGCAATGGTGGGGCGCGTCCAAAAAACGGGCAGCGGGGCCCTCGTCCCCAGGGCCCGCAAATATATGGGGCATTCGAGAGTCAGCATCAGGGCGCCCATCAGGACCAGCAGCAGGGGAGGCAAAGTCAGTGGCCCAGCTTCAGACATCCCAGAGACCACGGAGAGCCACTGCAGGCTCTGCAGGCCTGGACCTCTGTGCCACCACCAGACTCATACTGACACCAAAAATGGGAGTACAAGCCATTGAGTCAGACTTTCAGGGACCCCTAGAGGAAGGGACAGTGGGATTGTTGTTGGGACGTTCATCCTCTACCTTGAAAGGTCTCATAATTCATCCAGGAGTCATAGATTCGGATTATACTGGCATGGTGAAAATCATGGTTGAGTCCCCTAGAGGTATAACAGCTATTAATCCAGGAGACAGGATTGCACAACTTGTAATCCTTCCTAGCAAGCATTTGCAGTTCAGTGCATCAAAGAAACAACGAGGAAGTGAAGGCTTTGGGTCCACAGGCGTAGATTGTACCTTCTTGTCTTTAGAACTAGACCAGAGACCAACCTTAAAGATAAAAATAAATGGAAAGGACATTCTCGGCCTACTAGACACAGGTGCAGACCGTAGTATCATCGCCTCCAAGGATTGGCCTCCAAAGTGGCCTAAGCAGGCATCCTCACAATCCCTTCGGGGACTGGGATATTCAGAAACTCCTGAGATGAGCGCAGTAATGCTGCGCTGGGAGGATGCAGAGGGACATTCAGGCACGGTGCAACCTTATGTTTTGGATTTACCTATCTCTTTATGGGGCCGAGACCTTTTGAAAGACATGAACTATAAATTAAGTAATGAATACTCCCGTGTTTCTCAAAAATTGATGAAGGATATGGGACACCATCCGAATTATGGAATAGGAAAATTCTTACAAGGAAGAAATGAGCCCACTGAAGTAGTGCAGAGGCCTTCTCGCCAAGGGCTGGGTTTTTCATAGGGGCCGCTGAGGAAGGTATTCCCATTACTTGGAAGCACGAGGACCCGGTGTGGGTTCCTCAGTGGCCTCTGTCCTCAGACAAATTGGTCGCAGCGCAGCAATTGATTCAAGAACAATTGAATTTAGGACACATTAGACCCTCTGTATCGCCTTGGAATACTCCTATTTTTGTAATAAAAAAGAAATCCGGGAAGTGGCGGTTGCTACATGACTTGAGAGTTATTAATATGCAGATGCAGGTCATGGGGCCGGTGCAACGTGGGCTGCCTCTTCTATCTGCACTTCCACAGGGATGGCCCATAATAATAATAGATATTAAAGACTGTTTCTTCTCCATACCCCTACATACAAAGGATTGTGAAAGGTTTGCCTTTACCTTGCCGGCGTGCAATCATGAGCAGCCTGACCAGAGGTATGAATGGGTTGTGCTTCCACAGGGCATGGCTAACAGCCCCACAATGTGTCAGCTATTCGTGGGTCAAGCGATTGGGCCTTTACGTAAGAGATTTTCTTCCCTAAAATGCATCCATTACATGGATGACATCCTCTTAGCAGCAAAAGACGAATTCGTATTAGATGATGGCTTTGCATATTTGATTCAGTTGTTAGAAAGTAAGAAGTTATTTATTGCCCCTGAAAAGGTTCAAAAAGGAAGCATTGCAACTTATCTGGGATCCTGCATAACTAGTACTCAAATTGTTCCTCAAAAGGTGGAATTGCGCAAAGATAGTTTAAAGACTTTAAATGATTTTCAGAGATTATTAGGAGATATAAATTGGGTTAGGGGTTATTTGAATCTTCCCAATTATGAACTTAAGCCACTTTATGTCATTTTGCGTGGTGATTCGGCATTGGACTCACCGCGGTGCTTAACTCCGGAGGCCAGGGAGGCCCTAGAGAAGGTAGAAAAGAAATTACAGGAGGCATTCTTATGCAGAATGAATGAAAATCTGCCATTGTCATTATGCATTCTCCCAACGCTTAGCCAACCTACAGGGCTAGTATGGCAGGAAGGTCCGCTTTTATGGATACATCCAAGGAGCTCTCCAGCCAAGTCTATTGAGTATTATCCGGCAGCGGTGGCAAAGCTAGCACTGGAGGGTTTGCAACAATGTTTACAATATTTTGGAAAATTGCCGTGTGAAGTGATTGTTCCTTATGATGCCAAACAAGTCAACGTCCTATGTGCTCTTTTAGATGATTGGGCAGTGTTTCGCTGTGGGTTCCCAGGCTTTATAGACAATCATTTACCAAAAAGTCCATTGTTACAATTCTTTAAAGAACATCCGGTAGTATTTCCAAAAATTACAGCCACTGAGCCATTACTAGGTGCTCCAAATATATTTACGGATGGGTCAAAAACAGGCTGTGGGGTTTATATGGTAGAGGGTAATGACCCGGTATTTCATCAGTTTCAGCCAGGCTCACCTCAAGTTGTGGAGTTAAAAATAGTTATTGAGGTCCTTAAGCAGTGCTCTTTTGCCTTTAATTTGTTGTCAGATTCCTTATATGTGGTGAACGCATTAAAGATATTGGAAACCGCAGGGCCGATTAAACCTTCTAGCCCAATTGCATCCCTATTACATATAGCCCAGCAGTTGCTTTGGTCACGGAAAAATCCCTTTTTTGCTCAGCATATTAGAGCCCACACAGGCATGCCTGGTCCTTTATGTGAAGGCAATGCGCGAGTAGATCTGTGTACTAGACAGGAATTCATCTTTTTTACCACTTCCGCAGAGGCTGCTAAAGCTTTCCATCAATCTTTTCATGTCAACGCGCGCGCTTTGCAGCAGAAATTTCATCTTTCCCGCGCAGATGCCAGACAGATTGTACTTGATTGCGCTGACTGTGCTGTTACTCGTGCACAACCTAGTGTTGGCGTAAACCCTAGAGGGTTACTGCCTGGGAGAGTATGGCAGATGGATGTGACCCATGTATCGGAATTTGGGAAATTGAAATATGTTCATGTCTCAGTGGACACGTGCTCAGGCATTATGTATGCCTCTCCCCTCAGTGGTGAATCTACACGTCAGGTGATTGCTCATTGTCTGGATGCATGGGCCGCCTGGGGGAAACCCCAGGTGCTAAAAACTGATAATGGCCCGGCCTATACATCTCAAACCTTTACCACCTATTGCCAAAAAATGGAGGTTCAACTTGTCCATGGATTGCCATACAATCCTCAGGGCCAGGGCATAATTGAGCGAGCACACCGCACACTGAAAGAATATCTTTTAAAACAAAAAGGGGGAGTTGGCTATAGCCGCACCCCGAGAGAGAGAATTGCCTTAGTCTTATTTACAATTAATTTTTTAAATTTGGATGTGCATGGGCACTCAGCTGCGGACAGGCATCAGCAACAAGGAAACCCAAGTAGAGGGTTGGTAAAATGGAAAGATCTCTTGACGGGCCAGTGGCGTGGCCCTGATCCCGTGCTGGCATGGGCACGAGGTGCTGTTTGTGTTTTTCCACAGGATCAACATGACCCGGTGTGGGTTCCGGAGCGAGCGGTCAGGCGGGTCTGCCACGAGGAGAATCCTGCTGTTGCTTTTGATACTTCTGCCTCAAATGCAGCGGACACTGGCGGAGCAGAGATGGGGGATTCTATCAGTATTCCCAAAGCTGATGCCGAATTGGTCCGCGGAATTTGACTACACCTTGGAGCAACTGCGCCTTGCCGTGGTCACCATCAACTCCACGCGTGTGGATGTCTCCTTCGCATCTGGACTGTCATCCCAGATCCAGCTGTCTCCAGCCTGAAGGAGTGGGTGGGACTTGGAGCTTTGACGGGGTTGCTGTTACTTGTTGTGTTATTTTGCCTGTGGTGTTTGTGCAGGATGAGGACAGCTCATTGGCGGGAATTGGCCATGATAGCTCAAGCCTTTTATGCCCTTGAGGCTGGACAACTGCCGCAAGCATGGCTGGCCTTCCTTGAATGCTAGGCATGGGTGCAGGGTGCGAGGCAAAGCACTGCAGAGAGAACGAGCCATTACGTTCTCTGGAAGGCAAGTCTGTCTGCATGTGGGTTGGCATCCCAGATCCCACCCCCGCGAAAAGGATGCTGTTCCAGGTGGATGCCTGGCAGTGGGGGACAGACCCCTACCTTCTCCTGTAATCCTTAGATGCCTAGTTCTAAAACAAAAAGGGGGAACTGTGGGGAGCCATTGCACGGCGCCCTAAAGATGGCGCCGGCTCCTTTCCCCCGGAAGGACTGGCGAGAAACAAACATCTCCTAATAAGGAGATGTTTGAGCTCCCTTCCGGCTTCCGCGTTGCTGTACCAATCAATGCTTGCCACTTGGCCGCTTTTGATTGGTGCGCGGATGGCTATAAGAGGGAGGGGAGAAAAAAGGGCGCGAGATTCAAAAGTTTGAAAGAGGTTCCTGAATAAACTGCTGGAAGAAGAGTTCGGGTCGTGTCTTCCTTGCTGGTCGAGGGACGCGACAGGAAACCCTGCATACCAGAGGACACTGGGATGATATATTCAAGTTGTTAAAAAAAAAAAAAAAAAAGAGAGAGAGAGAGAGAAAAGAAAAAAAACTTCCGAACAAAAATATTTTATCCAGAGAAGTTATCTTTTAAAAGTGAAGGAGGGGCCGGTGCCGCGGCTCACTAGGCTAATCCTCCGCCTGCGGCGCCTGCACACCGGGTTCTAGTCCCGGTCGGGGTGCCGGATTCTGTCCCGGTCGCCCCTCTTCCATGCCAGCTCTCTGCTG